GACTCCTATGCCCATGGGAATTACAAGCCTTAAATATTAGTTAGATCAATTAAAAAACAACAACAAATGCTTGGAAACATTCATTCCCAATTTTTGTTATTTTTAATCAGCTACTTCTCCTTTGACAGAATATCTTATAGTAGGCTACACTAAAAGTTCTGCTAGATTGATAATAGAATCACTTAAATAAATAAATAAAAATCTTCAGAATGGGAAGTCAACAACCTTTATTCCTATTAATTTGTGAAGTCTTACATTTCAGACTTAGCCTAATGTAAACTTCAATACATATCAAAAGAATACTTGGTCGTTTGACTTGTTTGTATGGCAATTCTTTGGCTTTAATATTTTTTAATACTTTGTATATCAACAATGTAAAAACAAAACTATAGCAGGAGACAATATAAGTAAGAATCTAGCACATGTATGTTTATTAAAGATTTTTTTCTGTAAAGATTTTTTCTCCATAGGAACCTGGAATGTAAGATCCATGAATCAAGGCAAGCTAGACGTAGTCAAAAAAGAGATGACAAGACTGAACATCGACATCTTAGGAATCAGCGAACTAAAATGGACAGAAATGGGTGAATTTAACTCAGATGACCATCAGGTATACTACTGTGGGCAAGAATCCCTCAGAAGAAATGGAGTAGCCTTCATAGTCAATAAAAGAATAGGAAAAGCAATACTGGGATATAATCCCCAAAATGACAGAATGATCTCAATTCGAATCCAAGGCAAACCATTCAATATCACAGTAGTCCAAATCTATGCCCCAACCACTGGTGCTGAAGAGGATGAAATTGACCGGTTCTATGAAGCCCTACAGCACCTTATAGAATTAACACCAAAAAATGATGTCCTTATCATCATGGGGGATTGGAATGCTAAGGTAGGAAGCCAAAAGATAACCGGAATAACAGGCAAGTTTGGCCTTGGAGTACAAAATGAAGCAGGGCACAGGCTGATAGAATTTTGTCAAGAGAATACGATGGTCATAACAAACACTCTTTTCCAACAACCCAAGAGACGGCTCTACACATGGACATCACCAGACGGTCAACATAGAAATCAGATTGACTATGTGCTCTGCAGCCAAAGATGGAGAAGCTCTATACAGTCAGTAAAAACAAGACCAGGAGCTGACTGTGGCTCAGATCATGAGCTTCTCGTTGCAAAATTTAGGCTTAAATTGAAAAAAGTAGGGAAAAGCACTAGGCCACTCAGGTATGAACTAAATCATATTCCTGATGAATATACAGTAGAGGTGACAAATAGATTTAAGGAATTAGATCTGATAGACAGAGTGCCTGAAGAACTATGGATGGAAGTTCGCAACATTGTACAAGAGGTAGCAACTAAAACCATCCCAAAGAAAAAGGAATGCAAGAAAGCAAAATGGCTGTCTGAGGAAGCTTTGCAAATAGCTGAGGAAAGAAGGGAAGCAAAAGGCAAAGGAGAAAGAGAAAGATACACCCAATTGAATACAGAATTCCAGAGAGTAGCTAGAAGAGATAAGAATGCCTTCTTAAATGAACAGTGCAAAGAAATAGAAGAAAACAACAGAATAGGGAGGACCAGAGATCTCTTCAAGAAAATTGGAGATATGAAGGGAACGTTTCATGCAAAGATGGGCATGATAAAGGACCAAAATGGCAGGGACTTAACAGAGGCAGAAGAGATTAAGAAGAGATGGCAAAACTACACAGAAGAACTATACAAGAATGAGCTTAATGTCCCAGATAACCACAATGAGATGGTCACTGACCTTGAACCAGACATCCTAGAATGTGAAGTGAAGTGGGCCTTAGAAAATCTGAGCAACAACAAAGCTAGTGGAGGTGACAGTATTCCAGCTGAGCTATTCAAAATCTTAAAAAACGATGCAGTAAAAGTGCTACACTCAATTTGCCAGCAAATTTGAAAAACTCAACAGTGGCCACAGGATTGGAAAAGATCAGTTTACATTCCAATTCCAAAGAAAGGCAATGCCAAAGAATGTTCAAACTATCGCACCATTGCACTCATTTCACATGCTAATAAAGTTATGCTTAAAATCCTACAAGCTAGACTCCAGCAGTATGTGGATCGAGAACTACCAGAAGTACAGGCAGGATTTCGAAGAGGCAGAGGAACTAGAGATCAAATTGCCAACATACGCTGGATCATGGAGAAAGCTAGGGAGTTCCAGAAAAACATCTACTTCTGCTTCATTGACTATGCAAAAGCCTTTGATTGTGTGGATCACAACAAATTGTGGCAAGTTCTTAAAGAGATGGGAGTACCAGACCATCTCATTTGTCTCTTGAGAAACCTATATGCGGGTCAAGAAGCAACAGTGAGAACCGAACACGGAACCACTGATTGGTTCAAAATTGGAAAAGGAGTCCGGCAAGGCTGTATACTGTCGCCCTGCCTATTTAACTTATATGCAGAGCACATCATGAGAAAGGCAGGGCTAGATGAAACAAAAGTTGGAATTAAGATTGCCGGGAGAAATATCAACAACCTAATATATGCAGATGATACCACTCTAATGGCAGAAAGTGAAGAGGAGCTAAAGAGCCTCTTGATGCGGGTGAAGAAGGAGAGTGCAAAAGTTGGCTTGAAACTCAACATTAAGAAAACCAAAATCATGGCATCCGGCCCTCTCAATTCCTGGCAAATAGATGGGGAAGAAATGGAGGTAGTGACAGATTTTATTTTTCTGGGCTCAAAGATCACCTCAGATGGGGACTGCAGCCAAGAAATTAAAAGACGCTTGCTCCTGGGGAGGAAAGCTATGGCAAATCTAGACAGCATACTAAAAAGCAGAGACATCACCCTGCCAACAAAAGTGCGTATAGTCCAGGCCATGGTTTTCCCAGTTGCAATGTATGGCTGTGAAAGTTGGACCATAAGAAAGGCTGAGCGCCAAAGAATTGAGGCCTTTGAACTATGGTGCTGGAGAAGACTCCTGCGAGTCCCTTGGACTGCAAGGCGTTCAAACCGGTCAGTCCTAGAAGAGATCAACCCCGACTGCTCTTTAGAAGGCCAGATCCTGAAGTTGAAACTCAAATACTTTGGCCACCTAATGAGAAGGAAGGACTCACTGGAGAAGGGCCTAATGCTGGGAAAGATTGAGGGCAATAGAAGAAGGGGACGACAGAAAATGAGATGGCTGGATGGAGTCACTGAAGCAGTAGGTGTGAACTTAAATGGACTCCAGAAGATGGTAGAGGACAGGAGGACCTGGAGGAGCGTTGTCCATGGGGTCGCAATGGGTCGGGCACGACTTCGCAATTAACAACAACAAATGTTTATTATGATTCCTGCTCTATTTCCAAATAGGCTATGCTGATCTTGCAGTTTAGCCAATATTTCTTCTTCTGGAACATATTTTCAAGTTGATTTTGCTTATATCTGTTATATTAATGTCTTGATATAATTATTCTTCTTCACAGTATTACCTTTGATATAAATATTGATCTTCACAGTATTACCTTTGAAGATTGGGAATCATGAGTTAATATAGTGACTCTAGGCAGCTTACAATATAAATTATTACTAATTATGATCTATTTGTGATCGTATCAGAATAGCTTTTAGGAGAGCATGTGCAGAATGATAAATAATATGATTTTTGTAACAGAATGTCTTCAAGGGCTGGAAAGTGTATGTTGTATGAAGGCTATTGCAGAAGAAAAGGAGCTAATGTAATCATCAACAGAATGTATTCTGTTTTAAGGTCAGGTATCCTCCCAGGTACAATTTGGAGGCAGAATGGCAACAGGGCTCTCTTACATTCTGTAGCAGAGTTCTTCTGTGCACCCTTACAAATGATATGCTGAATTATTCCCCTAGTCCATTTCATCCACCACTTGCCAGTTTTTACTGAGAGGCGTGGGCTGGATAGGAGACGTGCACAGACCTTCTGTTCCCTTGTTATATTGTTTGGACCAGCTATTAACAAATTGTATACTGTTGTTATGATTGTAATGGGAACCGCTTTCTACATGGATATTGTGCTTTTGTTTGAAGGAAAAATAGTTGCCTAAGCGGGAGAACCTTTCACAAGAGTGATGACCTACCCTTTTTGGCCCGAGTATCAAAAGTACAAAAAGAATATAACTGCCGTATATGTTAGAATCCATAGTAAACTCTAGTGCCTTGCAATACCTTCTGCTTCTAACTGTTTAAGGAACAAGCAACAGGGTGATGCTAGGCAGTGAAGCCAGTCAGATTTAATCATATTTCTTTTTTTTATATGTGCATATTTTGGTACCCGTGCAACAAGTTGAATATGCTTAGAGCAAGAAATAGGTTATGAATATCTGAGGCAATAAAAGAGAGTGTGATTTTAAAGGTAACATAGGAGTAAAATTTACTGACAGTCTTTTTTAAGGAATGGGCAGGTACTGTGGTTTACTTTCCTTTAGGTTTATCAGAAGATCATTTAAAGAAAAGGAAAGTAAACCACAGTACCTGCCCATTCCTTAAAAAAGACTGTCAGTAAATTTTACTGCTATGATACCTTTAAAATCACACTCTCTTTTATTGCCTCAGATATTCATAACCTATTTCTTGCTCTAAGCATATTCAACTTGAGAAAAGTTCTGCTAGCTCATATGGAATAACTGATCTGCTTTCCTCCTCTTGTCTGCTGTAGCCCTAGCAGAGTAGGACACTGTGTTTGGGAGGAATCAGTTTGCACTCACAAAGCTCAGTCATCACTATCATGTTTCAGTCAAAAGGAGGTATACCAGGTGGATTCGGAAAAAAGCTTGGTCAAAGTGTTGAAATATGGCTTCCAACAGAAAAGCAGGTTGGGTCAATGATGTAAAGCAGCTTTGTTTGTTTGTTTATTTTGACCTTCAAAGTATGGGAGTATTCAGCTTCTATCTCACTTCCTCAGTATAGTTTCCTTTCTTCTCCTTCTCCTGAAATGTATGTGAAAGAAATTGTGAGAACAACATTTCAGTAAGTTCTGCTTCTTTGATCTCACCCACGTATTTTTACAGATCATGGGACAATTAAGAAAATCCTCGCTCCGGTTAATCAGACAGCCAGTAGCTGTTTGCTAGAGGAGATTCACATCTTCCCAAAGAAGCAATGGGAGCCCATCAAGAGCTTGCAGATTTTACACAGTCAGAGTGCTCTCTATGTGGGCCTTCAGAGAAGTGTGGTGAAGATCCCACTGAAGAGATGCCAGTTTTACAAAACACACAGGTATCTGTCTGATTAGTTGACCTTGAATGATAAAAGATGAGTAAAATATAATTACAGAGTTACTTAATTTAAAATTATTTTCATTAAGTAACTATCTCAAGCAGAACAATTTTCAGTTTAATAGAGGAAAGATGTCAGTTGTAAAAAGGGTATATTGTTATTCCTTCATCAAAAAACAATATTGAATGGCAACTTAGCCCTAATGAATTCAATTCAGTTGATTAAACTTTCAGTTAAACTCTTCCGTCTCATAACTCTCCTACCTAAAGCAATGTTCCATCTTAGGCAATGTAGAACATATCCGGAAAGTTATTATTAGCACCAGCAAATTACAATCATCAGTAGGAAAATTAAACATTTAGGTTGAGAAAAGTGCTGTCTTCTGTTCAGGGACCTGAAGAAGTATTTGAAGAGTTTGGGATAGATTTTAAACAATAAAAAAGAGGGGACTAGACCTTCCTCTTGCTTTGCCTGGAGAATAATAGTCTCCAGGTTATAGTTAGGTGATTATAGAATAAATAAGACTGGGGAAAAGAAAAAAATTCTCTACAGACAGTCCTTGACCTGTGATCTTAATGGAGTCTAAAAATTTCCATTGTTAAGTCATGACAGTTGTAAGCCAAGGTACCCGCATGACAGGACTCAATTTTCTGTCCTTTTTTTGTGGTGTCATTAAGCAAATGCTGAAGTTGTTAAGGAAACACCACAGTTGTTAAGTGAATCAAGGTATTCCTATGGGTGTTTTCTGCCAGAAATGGGCAAAAAGGCCGGAAACTAGCAAAAAAACCTTTGTAAATCATGGTCACATGATCATGGAACACTGCAACCGGCCACAAAGGTAGGCCAATTAACAAGTGCCAAAATGCAGTCATGTGATTGCAGGGGTATGTACACCCTTTGGATCTGCAGAATTGCATCATAAGTAGCTTTTTCATAACTTCAAACAGTGCTAAGGCAACAGTCATTAAACAAGAACTACCTATACCCCCATCTTCAGGCAGCTTGTCCTACACAGTAGGTCTTTACATGGCACATTAAGGAATGTTGGTCTTTTCTGATGAAGAAAAATGTGAGAATTTCTGTGATGTTTTCAATTTGATTTTTCAGCGCATGTGTTGGATCCCAGGATCCCTATTGTGGCTGGGACTTGGTGCTAAGGAAATGCACGCCATTGGAAGAAAGCTTGAGCATGAGTCAATGGGAGCAGAGCATCTCTCTCTGTCCAGTAAGTAGAATTCAGATACGTTCGCCTTTTCAAGTTGTATGAATCCAAGGGATTTCCATGGAATCAATTGTATTCATGGTAACCATTTATTTCATTATTGTAATTATTTATAATAGTCTCCTCAAAACAATTTATAATTTAAAAAACCAGTTTAAATGAAAATTCAAAAATATTCTAAACCAAAAAAGGCTTAATCTGAAGCATTGAAACCAGAAAAGAAATGTTTAGGATCTTTTCACACAGCAATTGGTGGTAATTGCTGGAGACTTCTAGAGCGATTGTAGCCCCACCCCATCCCACCTACCGCTTCTCTTCAGGTATCCTTTGTACAGGGCAACTAGTGGCAAATGATTTTATAAAAATAATATCAATTGGTGTGTTTTGTCTATCAGAGTTACATACTTAGTGTTTTTCTCTATTCTTAGCAAGCTTTTGTAAGGCATAATTTGTATGTATGAGTCATAAAATTACCCACCTACAATTTTACATATATATAATCACTGAAGTAATAAAATATTAACAGGGAGGATAGTTAGGGAAGTCTTTGGGAAGATGGAAACTGATTTAAGACTGAAGGGAAGGCAGGAAAACTCTGTTTAGAAACAGAATAGAAAGTGAGTCCCAGTAGCATAAAGTTCATAGCAATGGATGAAGATGGAGGTCACAGAATGTGTGGGTGGAGAAGATTAGGAAAGAATTGAAAAGATGAAGAAGGACAATAGCAAAGAAAAAGCTGCAGCAGTGATAACAAAAAGTGCCATATGTCTTTGAAGTTAGGTGTCATCAAGATGGGCTCAGTTCCTGGTAAATACAAGGATAAATGCTCCCATTTTAACCTGCCCAAGCGTTAACTCATAGTCCCTCCAAGGACATTCTAGTTATCTCTGTGATGCCACCTATCCATCTTATCTGCTGTTCCCTCAATCTTGCCAACCAAACTTATTTTCTTCTACTTCATCATCCTTCCCATCAGATGCCTGAAGTATGTAAGCTCCTGCTTGCTGATCATCACCTCAAGGAAACAATCAGCCTTTATTTGATTCAGGACTGATTGATCATTTTTCTTACCATCCATAGTACTCTCAAAAACAATCTCCAGATCCATAAATTGAAGATGTCTGTCTTTTTCTCTCCATGTCCTGCTTTCAGAGCCATACATTATCACTGAAGAGTGCTTTAAGCTGTTATTGTTAAAGAGCACATAACCTAGATAAATAAATAAGTCTTATCTAGGTTTTTCATTGCCTTCCATCCTTAAATTAATCTCCACCTTACTTCTCTGGCACATTGTCCATCTTTATCTGTTCCCTTGGGCCCAAGGAATCAAAACTTTCTACCATCTTCAGTTCTAGGCTGTCATCTGTAAGTTTTCTAAGCATGCAGGTTGACATTACCTTTGTATTCTTAAAGAAGGAAGAGGTTGAATTAAGTGAAAAGAGGTCCCAGAGGCAGGGCTTTGCACGAAATAAAACAGATAAAAGGGTAAAACTAACAGATAGTAAGGAAGAAGTGGGAAGCCAAAAGAATTTTAGAAAAGGGATGGGCTAAGGATGGGCTGAGGATCTACTTCACAAAGAGTTTAGGAACAAGATTTCCTTCTGATACTGTTAGCTAAACATTTTTAGTTCATTTTTAATTACATTAATGCCAGATGCTTGGAGTTCTGCCCAGAAATTTAAGAAGGGCAATAAATGTTGTTAATATTCTATATTCTGAGATGGCCATTCAGAGAACCTTAAAAAGAAGAGACAGTAGAATTTTGCAGGGATCTTGGTTAATTTTCAGAAGCCTTAAGTACTCTTCATTTGTGTCTGTTGTTCCCGAATTCACTCAGCCAAAGCATTTATTTCCATTCATACTTCTTGAAAACCCCATATTTTATGGGATTGAACAAAATGGTATTGTTTCCTCAACATATTGGGGATAACTCATGTTGTCCATTCCCTTTTTCCAGAATTGAATAGTTCAAAATCACTGCCATAAGAGCAGAACTTCTAACCACTATCCCCACTGGCTCTGAAATTCATGGAGGAGTTCAAATTCTACAGAAAGTCTGGACTTCTACAGCTTACCTATGATGGCTCCATAGTCAACTGAGCCAGTCTATCTCCCTTTTTGGCGGGGGGGGGGGTGCGCTCAGGAAATGCAGAAGTAACACACATCTCTCTTGCTATTAATGCACACATCAAAGATTTGTTCCTTCCTTAAACTCACAAGGCCTTTCTTGTTTTAGTGAGCAGATTCCTCCAATACAACAGATGGGCCTAGATGTGGGTGCACTTATACTTAAAAGCTGTCTGAAGTATTTGTAGATAATTTCCCCCTTTCTCTTGATTTCCACATTGACCTTTACAGAGTTTGTTTGAATATGCTCATTTTGTGACTTAGTACAAAATGTACTAGTGACTGATGCTTTTCATATAATAATATTGCCAAGACAAAGGAAGACAGAAACGTGTGTATGTATATAGACACCGTGCACAAATTTTTTCAGGACAGAGGATATGTATGGAAACCACTTTCAGTACATTACATAGGCTCTCTGTTTTAAGAGCCTGTTTTCACTTGAATCACTGGATTTCTTTATACATAGGAATCAAATGACAAAACAGAGAATGGAACTATTCTAACTGAGCCCCACCGAATCAAAAGTAAGACTGGTGGAGCTAGAAAGCAACTTTTGGATGCCCAATTATAATATCTGCAGATGGTAGGCATCTAGCACAGTTGCTCTGCCACTGGAATGATTTGACGGCTCTGGCTGTCTCTACCTTGAGACAGCTGGCATGGCAGGCAGCTGGTGATACATTTTGCTTGCAGGGTGGCCATGATTCAGCAGCTTCAGCTGCCACAGTGACTCCTGGGTAGAAAAAACATCCCTCTATTACGATAATAACTGCAACCTTCAAACTAAATCTATCTGTGTACAGAGAAAAGGTGAAGAAGGCATTTGTTCTGAAATGTTGAAAATTTGTCATGGTGGATGAGAAAAATCTATACAATAATTCTCCAAGGGCTGTAATGTATTTTACCCATTAAAGTCCTTGCAGGATCATTTTACAGATTTTTAGCCTACCTTTCAGGGCATAATGACCATTTGCTCCATGTAAGTACTTCCTTTATGTGGAAATTTAGTGTGTCAGGAAATTTAGCTACAGACCTTATCTCTGATGTGCTAATTTTCTGTAGCAGAATGTAGGGTTTTTTTTTAAGCGGGAAGATTAATTATGATTAGCCATTCTCTTGGAAATACTATAGGTTAGCAATAAATGTATCTCATCATTCTTTTAACTTTGGCTCAGCTACCATTAATTTTTTTCTGAACTGTAATATGAGAAATTATATGAAAATGAACAGAAAATATGTTTTTATTATTAAAATTAGAAGAAATACATCATATACATATGCCTTATTCTGAAGTCACATTAAACCAACATTTAACATAATAAGAATGAGTCATAAAGACTTGTGCACTTTTTATTTAGGAAGATTTCAGAAGTATTCACTTTTCATTTGATTTAACCATGATTTGTCATCTGACCTCATAATTTATTTGAAAGAAACTTATTGATTAGAAATCTTCTATTTACCGGTGAATTATAGTATCTTCATTTCACCACCAGCGCTTCCCTGCAGTGCTGAAATCTGTGTCCTTATTACTTTCATTTTGGCCTAACAATGGTTAATTCTACAAGACAATATAAGCAACTTATATAGTATAAAGGAAAAGACTGTAAGTTGTGAAACCAAATTATTCAAAGCAACCATCAGGCAGACAATATATAAAATATAGTTAGCTGAAAGCAAAGCACAACCTTTGGAGTTTCCCGTGGTCTTGCTGGATTGATGGGATTGTATAAGCCATTACTTCCAAAACGATTTTCCTTCATTACCCAAAACTGCTTATCAGAAAGTCATTTTACCACTTATCAGAATGTCTTTGTTATGTTTAGATAATGGGTTTATTATTGTTACTCAAAGAAAACTACTTTTACCCTATTTTGTGTAATTTAGCTAGGTTTGGGAAGAACTGGTGTAATCTGAATACTTGTTCCACCTTGTTATTATACCTAAAAATCAGTACTTGCATACTTGCTTATCTATTTGTTTATTTGATAGAAATGGCCACCTCCCCCATAGCAATAAGGACAGCATACAAAAATTAAAACCATAAAATTAAACCAGGAGTCTAGATAACAAATGCCCAAGGTTGAAAAATGTACAACAGAAAAAAATAACTAAAAATAATCAATTAAAAGAATTTGCTTAATTTCCTTGCCCAGATGCTTAGCGGGAGACATCTTAGCAGGCTATGTGAAAAACAGAACAATATCTGCTACATACTCAAATACTAAGTAAGAGTACTTACTTACTTAGTATTTGAGCATGTATTCATAACTGCAGGTCATAACTGCAGATGTAAGAAAACCTGGCGAGGCCTTGTGGTTTTGGCAACCAACAGCATGACAGTTGCAAGATCTGTTTGCAATTCTTTTTCTTTTTTTTTGGTTCATTACTCATTGCACTCTTAGCTAAATCTTAGCTAAAAAGTCTGGAAACAACATTTAATTCTCTGTCAGTGTGTGTACCAATTACATTCTTTATTTCTGCAACTTGATGTAGGAGTTTTCCCCTCAATGCTTTTCTTGCCCAGTAAGTCCTTTAAGAAAGTAATGACTATACCTGCCTTTCTGCATATAAATAATCTTATTAAACACACACACACACACACACACACACACACACACCACTCTGCTATATAAGCACTCAAAGGAGCCTTATAATGTATTAAAATTATTATGGTTAAAGTACTGGGCTAGAAAGCAGGAAACTCTGAGTTCTAGGCTTCCCTTAGTCACGAAAGCTGGCTGGGTAACTTTAGGCGAGGACCAAAGTTAAGTGAGGACCTCTTAGGAACCCCATCACCTGCCAATTTCCCCTTTGCCTTTGCTTTTGAAGAGCTGGCAGCGTATGTTGCAACTTGCAATTATATGACACAAGGACTCTTCGATGTTGTAATTGGAAGCCAGGTGCCAAGTGCCCAGATAGCAGTCATGTAACTGCAGGGATGCTGCAACAACCATAAGTACAATGTCCCATCATAACTACCATTCATTCAGTATTATCATATATTTGATGGGCACTGAATAAGTGGTTGTTAAGTGAGGACCACTTGTAAAATCAATTTAACAGTTAAAAGCTTGATGAAACAGATATCTTTTTGCCCACTCTCCTAAATCCTGGGAGAAGGCTCTTGAGAACATTTATTAGCTAAAAGCAAGACAGGAGAAGCCATTTTTTGCATACCAGGTAGCAAAGCTTCTGGCAGGAGAAACTCCATCAAAAGGGCCTGTCCTGGTACTCTAAACATAACAGTTGGTACTGACAGAAGAGAATATTTGTAGCTGAGGGTTGAACTATGGAATCCTTGGTGCTCTCTGAGCTTGGTGGTTTTCATTGAGACATTTCATTACCAAACTACATAATATGAGTGCACTGATGGTGTTACCTACTTTGGCAGTGAAACGTCTGCAAGCAAACAACCAGGTTCAGAGAGCACCAGGGACTGCACATTGCAGTTGATTGATTCATAATGGGAGAGGTGGTCTCTCCGACAGGGTAAACCCATATGAAAGTAGATGGTTCCTTAGACCAGTGATTCTTAACCTGGGCGATATCGCTCCCCAAGGGGCGATTTTGTTTTTCAGGGGGGCAGTGGAACAAAAAGGGGCAACACAGGGGCAAAGGAACAAAAAGGGGGCGATATGGGGGCGATGGAGTGAGAAGTTTTGGGGACACTTTTGAGCCTGCCCCTGTGGCTCTGAGCCTCCTCTGAGAGAGAGACAGAGACAGAGAGAGGCACTTCTCTCTCTCTCTCTCTCTCTCTCTCTCTCTCTCTCTCTCTCTCTCTCTCTCTCTCTCTCTCTCTCTCTCATTTTGGGGATCAGGAGCCCGCTCTCAGGGCTCCTGATTGGCCCTGTGCCCAGGTGCCCTGCCCCCTGGGAGAAGCGCAGCCAGGAAGTCCGTTTCCCTGGCTGGCCCCGTCCCAGGTGCACATGGCTGGGGAACTGCGCGAGGGATCCCCAGGATCCCTGCTGGGAGCAGCCTATCAGAGCCTCAGCTGAGCAGGCCAGCCTTCCCGCAAGCCACAGCCCCAAGGGAGAGCAGCCCCTGTGATCCTCAGCTGCGGAACCTTTGGCCCAGCTGACCAGGAAGGCGCGCTGGAGTCCTGGCTGTTTTGTTGGCGAAGAATGTGGGGTGAGATGGCACCAAAATTTTTCACACATTTGAGATATGGGAAAAAGACTGGAAATAAATTATTTGCATTGATATGTCCTGATGACAATTAAAAAAAAAGTGTTTGCATAAATTGAAGAATTATTTCCTATGTTGTGATTGAGAGGTTATGTTGGGGGAGGGGGGCGATGACAACTTTCTCATTGGCTCAAGGGGGCGATTCGTTCAAAAAGGTTGCCTTAGACAACCCGGTCATAAGACCTTTAAAGCTTTATAAATTAACAATACCAATTTAAAATTAGTTTGAGCTAATTCATAATTAGAACATAACCGACACTACAGTTGTTTGTATATGTATACAAAAAGAGCCCCCCCCTGCATATCTTAAGAGTATGCATTGGCTGCAATCAGCAATACATTAAGCCTCTCACAATTATCCAGGTTTGACATTATCAGTGCAAGGACAATTGTGCAAGGCTGTGCTTGTCCAAGAAAAGTTGCCAAATACAAGGTGCTCTTGATCAGTGAGGTAAGTTGGACCTGTAATTATTTATATAATGATCATCTGTTATCTTAAATAAGATCACTGGAATTTATTCTTTTCTCCTTTGGTTTCCAGAAGAGGAATTTGACTGTGGATGGCCATTTTGGTTCCTGGTCAGAGTGGAAGCCTTGTACACATGTAGATGGATCAAGTGTAGGCATTTGCCTCTGTAGATCACGCTTATGTGACAACCCAGTTCCAAAATGTGGGGGTCGCCAGTGTGAAGGGCCAAGTATTGAGATTGTTAACTGCTCTAGGTATGTAAAAAGTAAAATAAACATTGTAATATTGAATTCTTGGAAAACTATTTGTAAATCCTGATCATTGCTGACAATAGAGCCACTTCATATTTTATATGTTTAAGGTAAGCCAGAGTAATGCAATATTATTACATGCATTGTACGTTTGACAACAAGTAATTTTAGTTGCAGCTGGTGATAAAATGTGCCACTTACAAGTGCTCCAAATGTAACAGTAAGCACAAAAATGCTTCAATTCCCACTTAGTGCAGGATAAAATATAGATCTTGCAACCAATTTGATCCAATCTTATTTTACAGTTATATTCAGATTCTGCCTTTTCTGGATTAACAGTCAGTTCTAGACCCCAAACTAAACACACACAAACACACACATCACTCTGCTATATAAGCACTCAAAGGAGCCTTATACCAATAAATATATTAAAATTATTATAGTTAAATTGCCGGCCTAGAAAGCAGGAGACTGTGAGTACTAGGCTTCCCTTAATCATGAAAACTCTTTCCTTTAAAGCAGGCATATCATACTTGCGGCTCATGGGCCGCATCCTGCCCATGCAGGCCATGTCCATCCCAGCGCCACAAAGGCAAAAACTTCTGATATGTCACCATACGGCCCATGGTGCTACTGGGCTTGACACCTCTGCTCTAAAGAATTTTTCACCTGGGAAAAATTGGATCTTCTGGAAAAACAGAGGATCTAATCATGTAATTAAGACAATATTAGATTGGCTGTTTTTTAAAGCTGCTTGGGCTTTGTAATGAGATCTCTAGAGTTGATTAAAGCAGCGGTCCCCAACCTTTCCACCTTGGCAGCCTGACCCAATGCAGGAGGGTGTGTATGTGATTGGTAGGCGCAGGTGCATGCGTACAACCCCATTGGTGCAAGGTGTGGCCATGTGCACCCAGCTTCGCATGGGAGTGGAGGGTGTTTGTGCTCATGTGTGAAACTCCACTCATGTGGGTGGGGAATGCTCATGCATGCAGCTCCATTTACACAAATGGAGCTTCACACATGAGTGCCTTTCACTCACGCAAGTGGACCTTTGTGTGCAAACACAAGTGCCCTCTGCTGAAGCCCCCCCCCCACTCGTGTGAGTGGAGCTTTGCATGCAAGCACTTGCCTGCTGCTCATGCGGCCTAGTTTGAAACAGGCTGTGGCCCGGTAGTGGGCCTCGGCTGGGAGGTTGGGGTTTCCTGGGTTAAAGAATATTGTCAGACCTGCCTCTACTTAAACCTCTAAACATAAACAATCCTTGGCTCCATTTGTTGAGAAAGGTATGGTTTTATTGAAGTCAAGTGTTTTTCAGTACTGCATAGCCAGAACTAAGAATCCCTAAATTCAACTTTTCCCTCCCTTAAGTGCTTCCCATCACTGACCCCCCCCACCCATGTCCAATCAGGTTGAAGCAAGATGTTTCCAGAATGGTCACTTCAATTGTAGGTTGGTATGCAGATGTGTCCAGCTTGGTGACCTTGAAGCAGTGTGTTAGGGAGATACAGCAGTTAAAAATTTTACTTCCCCCCCCCAGACATTCACACACCGACACACGTGCGCATACACTCACCCACCCACCAGAATCCATAACAGATTGTCATAAAGCAAACTTTTGGTGGCAGCTGATATATATTTAATTATTTTGTTGATCATCATTGTTCTTGCTCCAGGTACCCTACAGAGACTTTTTTCCCCTGGGGAAATCAACTACTTCTTTGGACATGCACACCTAGAAATTACTGAGCATGATCTATTGTTCTTACAGAAATGGAGGGTGGACTCCATGGTCACCTTGGTCTCCTTGCAGCACTTCTTGTGGAATAGGCTTTCAAGTACGTCAGCGATCCTGCAACAACCCAAGCCCTCGCCATGGAGGCCGTGTATGTGTTGGGCAGAACCGTGAAGAGAGGTAACAGGCTAATATCTCCATCATTTGCTTCCCCTTTGTTTGTATCTGTGTTACCATGTTGTATTTCTTTAATGTCACTTATCCTTTGTATAATTTGTTGCTTCCATTCTTTGCAACCCTGCAGTATGTTGAAAATAAATTCCTCAAGGTCATCCTTTAACTGAGTACCATATTTTCCAGCGTATAAGACGACTCGGCGTATAAGATGACCCCCGACTTCAGAGAAGATTTGCATGGTTAGAAAGTCATCTTATACGCTGGAAAATACGGTATTTTCCAGCGTATCAGACAACCCCCGACTTCGGAGAAGATTTGCATGGTTTAGAAAGTCGTCTTATATGCCGGAACATAAGGTAATCTTAGATAATTGTTGGCTCATCACCAGCCTTCCTCTTTTAGATATTAAGAAGGTGCTGGACTTGTAATTAAAAAGAAAACTATTGGGCTGGATTGTTATCTGGACTCTTTTTAGTACCAAGGCCACACTGATCATTCTTGTGGATGATCTGTATTAAAGTTGTGATTGGATAGTGCTTCTCTTCTTATCCCGCTGGATTTCTCAGCAACTTTTGATATCCATCAGTCATGATCAATCCATCAATCAATGAATTGTTTCTGAGGGCTTGTAGTGGGAGGCAGTGTTTTACAGTGGTGCTGCTCTTTCATAAAGTTAGCATTGGTGTGGGAAAAAGATGATATTCTAACCCCCCCACCCTGCAATGTGGTGTGCCACAGAACTTGATAGTCTCACCTCTGCTGTTTAAATCTAAATGAAGCTGCTGGGTAAATTTATCTGCCGACATGGTGGCAGGTAAATGATATGCATCTCCAGGGCAAACAAAAGGTGTGGCAAAAGATCCTAACTTCTCTTCCTTGAGGTGATTAAGGTCTGAATGAGAAAGAATAGGATCTGACATATTCCCAGAAAACATGTGTCCATCCGTACAGTAACACTTTATTGAGTGCACAAAATTGTCCCTGAGGAGAAAAAGTGGACAAAATAACATTTAAATATTAATAAGAGCTGGTTCTAGTTAGAGACTGAAGAAAAAAAGAAATTCCTCAATGTAACGGGAAGGAGAAAAGTAATTGGCCAGTGAATTGAATGTTTCTAACTGCTCTATTGTACTCTCCCCCCTCCAATTTGTATTTCATTGTACTTCTCTACCCCCCTCCCCATTCCCAATTTAATTGCCTGACCACAATGCCCAGAGAAAAACTATTTTAACAAACTATTTTCTACATGCTTCTTCTACATTGTATATATATTTTTTAATCCAGCAGAGCCTTGGAAAGGAACAATGTAAAGGAGCTTAGGATATCTGTTTATCTGTCAGCAAAGTAACCTCTAAAAATAGAATGTAACCGGACTTATCTTACAGGGTATAGAAAAAAATAAATAAAATCAAAATAATTAAAATTAAACAGACAAAATTAAAATTATACAAAAATAAAATTGAAGAAAAACACTTTTTAGTCTTACATATTAAAATGGAGATCATCCATGTTGGAAAATATAAAATATGGAGTTATTCTGATCTGGAAATCTGCAAATGAATGGGGGAAAAGCATCCATCAGAATATACAAAATTAATGCAAGAAGATGGTATTGATCTGATTCCACTGGTTTGCCAACCAGGAGATGCCCCAATTTAGTGTTACCAGCTACTCAAATGGTATAATTTTAAAGGCAAATTATTGCATTCATTCATGGATGAAAGAAGCTGATAATTAACAATCATTTTCAAAGTTAATCCAGAGTTGAATTACTACTTTGCAACACATAGATAAAACAAATCAAAATTTCCTAACACACTCCCTGATTAAACTTTTTCCTATTCTTATAGAAAATAATGAAACTGTAAAGAAGTAATTACCTGGAAATTTCTTCTTCTTGGAATTAAACAGAGGCTGAAGGAGAATTAATCTCAGTTTTAAAGGAAGAAAACATTTTTCATTTCTGGGAATGAAGGTGTTGAAAGATTTGATTGCATCTAGACGCTAGAATTCAGGCTGAGAGAAAAGTGTATATTTTCTGTTCAGATGCTGTCTCTGTCATTAGAGGGCCAGCTGCAATTGTCAAACCTGAAGATTTTATTTTACAGTTTAAGCACTAACATAGTCTTCTATACCCTGCTCACCAGATATCTATGAGCATACATACATGTATTTTTTAGAGCAGAGAAAAGGGCAAAAATGTCACAAGAATAACAACCATGTGCTTAGTTAGGGCGTTTTATCCATGCAACTTAAGAAAAATGTGAATAAACACAAATGTAATTTGGAAAGACATAAAGTAAAGAGATGCTTTTTCAAAACATAGATGTGAGAAGAAGCCAATGAAAACAAACACTTACGAATTTTAGCTCCTTCTTTACACGTCATGCATTCTGAGTGTGGTGTTAGCATGCTACATGTAACGCTGAGCTGGAATACAGACAACAGTATGGTGACTTGCAAGGTAGTCCATTAATTGCAGGTGCTAGCTTACCTCAGATAAAACTGGAATTCAGTTGTGGTTGTGATATCCTGGCCAGAAAAAGCCAGACTGATTAATACTGTCCTTACTATAGACAGAGAACACTGTATAGCATTTAACCTAGATATGACTAAAGCTGGTAACTCACCCCACTATTATTATATTATTTACATTATTAAGAAAGTTGTTTGACCAAATGCTGATGGATGATGGAACTCAGTATTTGTGGGCCCATCTGGAAAAAGAACGGCTAAATGGTAAAGAAACAAGAAATGAAAAAAAAAAAAAGAATTTGTTGTGTCTATGAAACTAAAGGAGTAGGAGGGATGTAATAGATCTAAATGAAGTTTAATCTGATCATGCAGAATGGAGTTGATGGGTAAATGCAGGGAAGAGTGTTAGGTTTAATTATGAATGCAAAATATATGTAAAAAATATGAACTGTCACCATTTGGGTTGCAAGTACATCTGAAAATAATTCTTAAGTGAAGATGGCCGGTGAACAGTGATAAAGAAGGAATGCTAGATGTGTTTTGGGGAAAATTGTGCAACCTAAAAGAGTGGAATCTGATGGGGGGGGGAGCTCATTCTTCTGGGTGACATGAATAGATTAGTTGGAACAAGACAAGACAAATGGTCATTTGGAGTTCCATTATGAATATGCTAACAAAAAATTCTATTTCATATATGTGGTTTAAGTATTAATCTGTTCATACAGATACATGGAAAAGCAGATTTATAAAACAAAAAGCCGATTTGATCATTTACAATGAAAGGTTCATAGAATTAGTTAAAAGTATAATAGCAATGAAGGGTTATAAATGTGGGATCTTTAGGGGGAAATGCACATAGAAAAAACCCTCTGGAGTGTGAGTAGGATGATTGAAGAGAAAGTATGGATTCTATATGAATAAGTATTAGAAAACACATTAATTTCGCATCAAAATGGGTGAAAAATGGAAATAAGAAAAGAGTGTGTGGAAACAGCTTGGAATAAAGAACAGTTAAGTTTGTATTATTATAATAATATATGATGTATTGTAAAAAGTTGTTTTGGAGATAAGTGAGGAGAACTAAAGTTTCAAGTACATTGAATAAAATTAAAAATAAAACAGATGAAGTGATGTAAAAAAATGAAAAAAATGATAAAATTGAAATGAGGGAACGTTGGAAAGAATATTTTAGAGATCTCCATAGGAATCATAGCATTGTGGCAAAGATCAGAACTAGAAAAAAAATGATAAGTATTAACCTCTGATCAAAAAGTAGAGGAAACTATAGATTAACTAATCAAGTGCTGTGAGAAATGAGAAAAATAGTAAGTGTATTAATCGGTTTAGCCTACCCAACACCGTCCTCTCTTTCATTTGGAGATGGATTGATCATATAGAAAATGAATGAAAATGAAGTCAACAGGTGTGTGAGAAAAGAGCGAAGGTCTTCCAAAAGAGAGTGGTGGGGAAGTAAAGAATAAAAGGAATTGATAACTGAATTGTTGCCATTTTATGAATTTCAGCATCATATTATCATTTTTATTATGACCGGTGTGATTCAGCCATTGATTCATTGCCGCCAGTAATCTCTTTGCTCACCAGTTTGAGAATTGTGGTGGAAATATTGATGTTCGTAAATTTGGATTGATTCATAAGGGGAATTAGGCAAATCTATGACTATGAATAGCTATTTGTCACAATGCATATATTACTTTTATAATGAAGATGGCAAACTTCATACATATTGCTGATATAAACATGTATTTATGTCCTTCCTAATGTTTCTATTTAGGATTGCTGATTTCCTGGTCCATGATTTACATGAGCAAATGAGGAACAGTGAGTCAGTAACCTGATCTATCACAAAATACACGGAGATAAGAGTCAGTCATCCAAGTTTATTATTTTGCTCAAGGACCACAGTTTACACCTGCTGCTGTTAAGTTGTTTGCAGCTAAGGCCTGAATAAAACTATATTATAGAGTTCAGCTAGGACCAAACTAAATATGTAAAAAGTAGGTGTATCCTGAATACAGTACTTTGTAGGAAGCGGAATCAATAAACTTGAATCCAGCCCAGTCCTCAACTTTCCACAACTGAGCCCAACATTTCTGTTGCTAAGGATGACACTTAAGTGAGGTTTGCTACATTTTATGATCGTTCATGCCACAATTGTTAAGTAAAAACATTGCAATTGTTAAGTTAGCAACATAGCTGTTTAGTGAATTTGGCTTCCCCGTTAACTTTGTTTGTCAGAAGATCACAAAAGATGATCACATGACCCCGGGACACTATAACCGTCATCCAAATTTTGATCATGTGACTATAGGGAGGCTGCAGTGGTCGTAAATGTGAAAAAACAGTCATAAGTCACTTTCAGTGTTGATGTAACTTCAAACAGTTGCTAAATGAATGGTTGTAAGTCAAGCACAGTTTTACGTATTAGCTGAAACTAATTCACAATTCTGTTGGACCAGTCCACTTTTGTGTGTGTGTGCGTGTGTGTGTGTGTGTGTGTGTGTGATTAC